ATATTGGAATTCTGAGTTTTAGGTTGCTAGCCCACAAGATAGCGTTGAACGTTTTGATTTAAGAGTGTGCTTAGATAACGTGCACTGGATGTAAGAGGATGATAATTTCAAAACTAGTGTTTGGTTTAGGTTACGGTGGGAAAATACCGAAGAGGCAAACTATGCAGCTGAGAGAGGATAGAACTGGGAACTGGTACGGATGTCCAGATCTAAAGATGAACAGGATGTGGCCCTGATCTAGGGGGCTTTTCACGTCAGGTTTTGAAGCACCCAGAAATAAAGTAGTAGGAGCTGCTAGTGCTGCGTGCGAGTATGCAGGTGTGTGTGATGGTGCTGATGATGGCACGTGGACGGGACTACATGCAACTCTCGAGTCCTGTAAGGAGGAGCAGTGACTTCATCGTGGAGGCAGCCCGTGGAATTGAAGGATTTTAAGTAGAGGAGTGATAAGAGCTGACTTCAATTACTTCTTAAACATAATTTTTAACACTGGCAAGAGTAGTGAATCAGTTTCCAGGTTTGCTTCATTGCCTGGTGCTCTCACCCTGTCTTGGTCCTTAGACTGTCAGAGGTACTTAGCAGCCTTAATTAGCTTTTAGTGCATTGTTTGTATGCTGATTTTTCCTTCCTTTGTCTTTATTCCTACTTACAATTCCATTTTCCATCCATCCTTTTTGTGGATGCAGAAAACCAGCCAGGATTAGGACGGGTAACTGAGAAAGTTTTAGGGGAAAAACAACTACAGATGAGTGTAGGCCTGATGTTTATTTGGGTGTAGATTTTGGTGTTCTTGTGAGTACCTGAGCCTGTCTCAGTTGATCTCTTGTTCTCAACACTACCCAGCTAGGAAATAGACCACAGGTAAAATCATTGGAAATTATTGGTGTGGCCCAAAAGGCATTGAAGCTGCCAGAGAGACACAAAAAGGCCTTTGTGTTCCCATGGGAATTGAGCCTGGCCATTGGTTTTTGCCAGGGGTTGAGAACCATCAGTGCTGCTGTGCGAGCCATCTACGTCTGGACTTGAAATAAGTGTTATCAGGCAGATGTGCCTTCCTTTACCCCCAAAGTGTCACCATTCCAAGAGATCGCAGACGGATTATAAATGTCTGTATCCAGCAACTTCACGTGGTGACTTGTCAGTGCTTGTAAGACATGTAAATGTAGTGGCATTTGGCCTAATATGTGAGCACTTGCAAAGAACTTTTTATGTGCCAGGCATTTTACCATATATATTAACACATTTAATGGGCACCGTAATTACAGAGGCGGATGTTGTTGTGTATGGTTACAGGCTGCATGGTGTCCCCTTTCCCCACTTTCATATGTTGAAGACCTGATTCCCCAAGTGGTTGTTTCTGGAGATGAAGCCTTTACAGAAGTGGTGAAGGCTGAATGAAGTTTTATGAAGCCTTACCGATTCTAGTCTATGGGGACACCGTCCTGGTAGGAGGAGACTTCAGGAATGGGCATGCGCGGAAAGGAGCCCAAGTGAGACGCGGTAAAAGGCAGCCACCTGGAATCCTAGGAGAGCTCTCAGGAGAAACCAGCCCTGCTGGGTCTTGTTCCTGGCCTTCTAGGGTCTGAAACTCTAAGAAGATTAATTTCATGTTCTAGAGTCTCCCAATTTGTGGCATTTTTGATGTTGGTCCTAGTAGACTAGTACACATTTGATGGGGAAATGGAGGCCCGGAGAGGGTGAACAACTGATTTAGTACTGTGTAGCTAGGAAATGGTAAAGCCAGGATCCGAACTTGGGGAGTGCGATCGGAACCCAACATTAGTTCCATTATTTTATTTTATTTATTTATTTTTTTGGTGATTGAACTCGGGTCCTTGCACTTGCGAGGCAGGCGCCAGAACCACTGAGCTAAATCCCTGGCTCCGGTTCCATTACTTTTGTTAAAGGCTGCCTGTGTAGTGTATCCCTGGTTATCATCTTTGGGGAAAGATCTTTTTTTGAGAACGTTCAGGAAGAAAGAAAGGGGAGAGAAGAGGAGAGATGACTCGGATTAAATTGTTCATGTTGTTACCTAAGACTGGTGAATCCAGATCTCGCTGATGATTTAAAAATGTTTAATATGTTTTCAAACATTCTGTAAAATACGGTATCTTTTGATACACAAGCTTCAGTAAGTCCAAAGAAATAGCATAGCTTTAAAAATGCAGTACGGTGACCAATGAGGTTACGTTGTAAGATCTTTCCTGAAGATGCACATAAAGAATGAATCTAATTTCTCATTCTTTATGGCTGAGTAGTATTCCATTTTATAGAAAAACCACATCTTCTTTATCCAGTTTCCAACTGATGGGCAAATGGGCTGTTTCCAAGTTAGATTCAGTCATAGGAAGATGGATACATATTGAGGATATACTCCTAAGTGAAATAAATAAGTCACACATGTGTAAATACCGAATAGTTTCTCTGGTGGGAAAAACTATAATAGCACCTAGGATCCTAATGAGATAACTGACCATGTGAAATAGGAAGAAAAGGGCTAAAGGTGTAGGGAAAGTAGGAAGGGTAGGGGAAAGCTAATAAGGGAAAAGAAAAAATATGAGAAAATGAAGAAATGGAAATGAAGTGTTTGTAAATGAGGAGGGGAGGAGGGGGCGAAGGGAGGGCAGGGACAAGGGGAAAAAATGAGAACCAAGACCTGTCATGTAAAGGTAGGTGATCCCAATAATGAACGGAATTGTACTGTATACCTAAAATGGACCCATAAACTCAAAAGAAAAAAAGAATGGGTCATGTGCACATTGATGTTGATATTGCTCTGGGAAATAGTACAGCTCATTCCTGAGCATCTTAAACATTTCCTGCACATTTGCATTTGTGTAGGTTGTAGAGGAATAACGAAACTCAGAGCAAGAACTTGGACTCTTCCAGACTGTCATTCCAGTGCTGTCCTTAAACCACAACAATTTGTGCACTTTGTGCTGAGCCTTTTTGTAATGTGGGATCTGTTACACAGACGTGGGCACAGATTAAAAGAATACAATTAGATTGTACTGACTGATTAATATACTTGATTTTATGTTCTTAATTTTATAGGCTTAAGATAACTGAATCATAAGCATAGATTAACTTCTGAAACCATGTAATAATAGGGTACTTATTGTGATGGAAACCAGAGTATCTGCGTCCTTTCTAAGTGAGGCTGACTTCCAGCCTATGGACTGACCCATTATTGGTCACGTGAGCAGCACTCCTCTTACCAAGGTCATGTGAGCAGCACTCTTACCAAGGCCAGAGAGGGCAGGAAGATGACCTGAGCTTTGCTCTACATAAACTGCCTTTGGAGTGACTGAAGGAAAGCTTTCTACTGTGGAACCACTCTGTGAAAATACATTCTTTTCAAAATAAAACATTTGTCTTTGGAAGTTACCTTATTTAATATGTGAAGGTGTAGTCCGTCCTCTATTCGTAACACTAAAATTGGTTTTTGTGGAAATATTTTCAAAACTCTGGGCTTAAGATCATGGAAAGTATATCAGAGAATCACATGAACTCTGGCTTATTTATTTATTTTTTTAGTATTTTTCTCATGCCTCTGTAGAGCAAAATACAGGAATATAAATTATGAATAAAGGAATTTATTCCAACATAGAATTTTTTGTTTCTTATAAACGATCAATGACTCTATATCATCATATAAATTTTTGTATGTGAGTCTACTTTTTCTAGTTTCAAACCATTTGTTAATGAAGGCCCAAAGAAGATAATTATACTGTCCATATAGCCAAAATTCATTCATATTTTAAAAGTTCACTTTCAGAGTTTGAAAGAATTAGAAGATATGTGAATTTATTTGAGAAACTTCATTCCATTCCTCAAATGTAGATATGATGATATTCTCCTCGAATGACATCTCCTCAGTGCCTACTCCCTAATGTGCCAAATCCAAGCCACCTATCCATAAAACCAAATGTACATGTGAGGAGTTTGCTCTGAGCATTTGAATAAGCCTTTTCAGATGTAATTAGCCAGCATCCTCAGCGTGAAACGTGAAGTGGGACCACTGTGTCAAGGATGATTATTTGTATTCGGTATTTTGCAAATAGCATATTCTACGGGATCCCAGACCTGGCAGCTGTGATTTGTGGATGCCCAGTATTTATTGCCCATTCCGATGGATCCAGATGTTGCCTCAGTGACAGGTGTGTATGGTACACGGCCTTGGTCTTGGAGTGGCTCTCAGCTTGATGCTCCGTTGTCCCATCCTGGGTGTGGAAAGCTGAACTGCAGCAGGAACATAGGAATCTCGCCCGAGCATTTCTGAAACCTGGACTGAAAGGTCATCCTCTTAAGGATGGTGAAAAGCTGTATGACTTCAAATGTGAGACTCTTCATTTCTGCTTTTGTCTGAGCTGGTTTGTGTTTGATTTCTTTCCCAGGAAACAAAAGTTCATAGTCACTTCAATGGAACCACTTGTTCTGTGTTCGTATTTTCTCCTCTCTGTTTTTTTCTGAGGTAGGCAGAAATTATTTTAAATAATTATTATCACAGTGTAGAGAGAATTTGGTTTTCTGCTTGTTTTCAACTTAGTATATCCAATGATCACATGCTTCTTTTCCTAGATCTTGTCCTTAGAGTTGCCATAAAAACCTGTGATCCAGTATCATAGTTTATATTAATGTTTGATCCATGTTAAATGTCGATATTTTTGGGCTGGGGATTTAGCTCAGTGGTTATGCTAGCTGCCTCATAAGCGCAAGGACCCAAGTTCAATCCCTGGTACCAAAAAAAAAAAAAAAAAATCAAAATTTTCTTTTGGGCCATTTTCATCATTTAAGATATATTAAAATAGTACGAAATGTTCTGCTCTTTTCGTAGTATCCCCTGGGTCATTTTCTACGAAATGGATTACTGTGGAAAGATGCTACTATTTAATGAACAAACATGGATTTTGGACCCCCAATAAAACCCAGCACAAATCCAAACTCTGCCAGTGACCGTCAAAGTGGTATTGGTTAAATAATTGTTTGACTTCTTAGTTAAAATGAGGCTAATGATGTCTATCTTCTGTCCTTGTTATAAAGGTGACCTGAAAAACGGTATGTAGATTTTCAAATGTGTGTTCAGCACCCGAGGAAAATAGCTGACCATTCCTCACTCGAGAAGGTAGTTTCCATCATTACTTGTCTGATTTTGTTCATTTATTCGTTAGTAACGTTGCCAGCAGGAACTCAGTTCTGTTCTCTTTGGACGCTGCCAACCTTGCTCTTCTGTTTCTGTGTCCTTCCTGTGTGGAGATTTCCTTTGAGGAGGCACTCCACTACCTCACCTGGAATCTGCCCTTTTGTTCCTCACTGGGTAGCCACTGTTGCACAGAGAGTTCTTTTGCTTACTTTGATCATCTCTTTTCTTTTCTGTTCCTTTATGTAACATAGCCACACATGTGCCCTGTCTGTGTCTCTTCTGCATGACTGGAACCTGGCCTTTGGAATAATCTGGATTGCTGTGAAGTAGGCATCTTCTGCGTGAGTGCCCTGCCTGCTCACTGGGTGACTTACTACAAAACAGTATGAATGTTTATACCTTGCCAAAATGTTGTCTCCTTTCCACTCTATTCCCCGCACTCCCAAGCCAACTGTTGGCGATCTGATACCAGCAGAAGAGTAAATAGCACCATAGCTCAAGACTTGATGATAAACAGTGTTTCCATGTGCTGTTACATGCAACTGGTCTAAATTTGAAACATCAGTGCATAAATTATTTTAAAAACGTGATTATGTGTTGATCACAACAAAGCCATGGGTTAAGGTATTTTATAGACTACTGGGTACCTCTGATAATTTTCATAACCATAGCTATGGTATAGGTGAAGTATAATTACATAGCTCATATTGATTTGTGGGGAGTGTTAACATTTCATATAATCTATATTTGTTCTACCTGGATCATTTCTCATTTTACTGTAGGTTCAGAGACCCCTCTTTAATGCTTTTGACCCTGTGCCCATCCTGTTAGGATCGTTTGCTGGTCAAAATGGTACTCTAGTTTTAAGGATACTTGCGTTTTTTCTGAAGCAAATTAAAATTACAGGAGTTACTTAGGGTTATAGATTTGATTTGTACTTTCTGAAAAGAAGGAAATAAGTTTTAAAATGTGCTTCAATTTGAACAAACCATGATAATTACAATTTATTTCTGAGGCCACTATTTGAAAAAATATAAAGGGGAACAATTTCTGTTGCTTTTTATTGCATCTCAGAAGTATAACTCAGTATTTTCTTAACTTTTTTTTGTTCTAAAGGTGAAACCCAAAGGAACTGTACCCCTGAGGCATATCTCTAACCCTTCTTATTTTTCAAGAAAGAATCTTGTTAGGTTGCTCAGCCTGGCCTCCAATTTACAATCTTTCTGACTCAGCCTCCAGAGTAGCTGGAATTACAGGCGTTAACCACCAAGGCTGGCCAACACTTTTGTTTTTAAAACAGAGCATTAACGAAATTTACACGGGACTCAGATTTGCTTTTACAGTTTACTTTATGAGATAAGTCAGGAAATAGTTTCTTCCCCTAGTTTACTTCTGACCATGGCAACAGATATATGTTTGTATTACCACTTGGTAGCTGGCCCAAAAAGGGTGAAATTAGCATTAGACACTTTACTAGCATTAGTCTTTTTCAAATTTGCTGAAGCTAGTATTAATTTATTTAATGCATTAAACTAATAGGTCAAAGTTCAATGAAGCTTAATTCACTTGAAGATTTAACTAAGGTTGCAAACAGGTTTTGAAATAATCTGTAGAAAATATTACTTCCTAAAATAATCAGACTGTAATTTTACCGTTAGAAGTTAAAATGAAGTTAAGAATTTATTTGAGGCTTCCTTAAGGAATTTATTTATTCCATCTCTAGTTAAAGGTTTCTAGAGAAGGAGGTAGAAGGAAGGATTAGTGGAACCAAAACTCCATTGTTGGGAAAATAGAGAGTTCCTTAAAAATTACTCCTATTAAAACTAATTTATGGCCATAATTTCGGACTGAGGGTGATGTATGAGCAGTGTTTTCCCCCACTTTGTTTTACTCCATAAACATGGTGACTGTGGCGTGTACATCTCCATTTTCTCAGTACGTGTGTTTGAGGGGCACCATGGGCAGTAAATAGGATGCTCAGATTCTGGGGGGAAACTGGGGGTGTGTAATAGAGCCATGACGAGGGGAAAATGAGCTGAAAAGGAAGTGACTGACCCTGGAAATTATTAAAACATCCTTCCCAGGATGTCATTACCAAATCTCGGCTCCATTATTTTTAGAGAAAAGATAAAATCTATGCACACCAGCGAACAATGGAAACAGACGTAATGGACTGGTGGGCTTCGCGTATCCACATTAGCCTTGAGCTTTTCATGTGAAATTTCAGCATAATAGTTCAAGGGTATTCTGAAGTGCCCAGGCAGTGACTCTGGCGACAGGGCAGAGAGTGAGTCAAGCTGTGTGCACGGTGACCCCCCATCTCCCCCCAGACACTGGAGAAACATTCGAGTGCCTTTAGAAGGTTAGACACGCACGACTCTGTTTTCTTTTCTGTTCCCTTGTTTACCTTTATGAGTAAACAGTTACTTTTACTTTGTCTCCATGTTTTGTTTTGTATTTGGTACCAGGAATCGAACTCGGGCCCTTGAACTTGCAAGGCAGGCAGCGGAACCACAGAGCCAAATCCCTGACCCTGTTACTTTTAATTTTGAAAGAGACTTATCCTCAGTATCTCCATGCTGAAACTATGAATTTATAATCCTAGAGGGGAAAGATCATTTTAAGGAAAGAAAGTAAGAAAACAATCAAATTATATTATTTTTCAAATTTTTATTAGAAGCATGCTGTGTTTTGAACACAGTGGCAGACGTGAATGATGAGTTAGAAGAATAAAACAAGGTAGAAAAAACTACTCTTGTGTAGGAAATTACATTGTTTTGGAATTATTTTTATGAAAGCCATGTGGCTTTAAATTTTTTTTTTTTTTTTGCTTTTAATCACTGAGAGGGGTAGAAGTGATACGAAAGTGAGTCAGTAGGATAAAAAATAAATTGGCAGAGAAAATATCACTTGGAGCCTTTACAGTGTAGTAATGGAAGGCTCTGCTCAGAATTTAAAAAATGAATAGTAAATGGAGAAGTTACTGGTCTCAGCACTGACAACAGTACTGCGCAGTGAAAAGACCAAACACTGACAGACACCTTAGCAAAGCTGGAGAGAATCCGGGTCCGGCCCTTCCTTCGCTGGCGCTCGGCAGGATCCAGGCGAGGGTTCCCAGCCGAGCTGGGTGCCTGGTCCGTCCGTGCTCTGACTCCCCCTGTTGCTGTCTGCGGCGGTGAGCACTGCTCATTGGCTCCCAGCCTGCATTTGCAGAAGACAATGCTGTCTCCTGTCAGGAGAATTCCCAGAAGGGAGCATTCAGCCTAGAACAATGCGTGTTGGTGTCAAGTCCAAGAGGGAATTTTCTGTATTCTCACACCTTGTCTTTTCTGTCCCCTGGCTGACAGCCGAAGGCCACAGGGTGGCTTTTGAAGAGATCCTCGCTGTCTAAGGTTTGGTTGTTTAGTCCCCCGACGGAAGTGCTTCTCAGCATCTGGAAATATCCAGACTGCAGGTTTGCTCATTGCCTCTGTGCCGAACTCGTCTCCTGAAGCGTGTTTCCCTTTGTCTCTTCTGAGCCGACACACACATTCTTGAAATGAAAGCTCTGTTTCTACGCCTCAATGTCCCCCACCACATGTTTGGTATCCGTGACCACACAGGAAGGACTTTGTTACTGTTTCAGTCGTGTGAGTGGTACACTGGGGCTAAAACCGGATGCATTCCACGCAGAAGGAAGTTCGGGAAGAGGTGGACAGAGCCGAAACCCTGGGCGTGTGTTCGCTTCCACGGGGGTGGCCGTTCCAGCCCGGCTGAGTCACTCTTTCCTTCACCTCTTCAAGAGCTGGGGAATGTTTTCCTCGCTGTTCGGTGTACACGAAGGTCATAATCGGGCCCCGGAGTCCGTTTGCTTGTTTAAATTGTTTGGGGCAAATGTGAAAAACAAATAACATCCACACAACCCATGTAAGTTGCTAATTTGCGTGAGCACCTGAGATGCTCACAGGCACAGTTCGTGCCTTCATTCTTACCCGTTCATTCGGTTTTAACGGCAGGACACAATTTAAGAATACATATGAAACCAGAAGAATGCATTTTTTTAAAAGGACTTCAGAACACACGGCGTCATTTGGACTTTCAGATAGTTTTTCTGTCTGCAGTTGGGGCCGAAAGGCGAGCCTGTTTGCCTTGGAATCGACTTCCTCCTTCTCAGGCTACACAGGGCAGGACTCTGTGTTCAGAGTGTGGGCATCGCTGACCCCCAGGTCCGAGGTGGGGCAAAAGTTCCCTTGGGTGTTATCCTGGCCTCTGCCTTCAACCCTGTGTGGAAACCAGAGTCCGTCACTTTACCTCTTTGACACTTAGTTTTCTTCAGGTTAATGAGGTGTTAAACTGATTACAAGGTGCCTTTATCTATCTCGTAAGATAAACCTAAGGTGTGCTTTGGAGCTAGGGATTTATTTAAATTTATGTGTGAAGAATAAGGCTTTGGTCTGAAATGACATTTAAAATCGAAGAGGAAAAGATAGATCAGAGACAGAAGTGGCAGTTTGGAGAGTGTTGAGGGTGGAGAAGAGAGTTGAAAATAACTCAATGTATGAGGCCGGGGACTGGAAAAGCACAAGAAACATGGACAGTTTCAGGGAGTGTGCTCACGTTGGCCTGTTGTGGGGCGAGGACGGGCTCAGTTTTAGCTGTCAGCCCAGCAAGCTAGGTGTCCTGCAGGCATCTGGAAGAACAGGCTTGAAAGGGGAAAGGGAACCGGAACTATGAGGGCCACAGGGCTCTCAGCGGAGCTGCTGCGGGAGGAGGGGAAGGAGGCTCTCTGGCTTGAGGCTCTGGACTGGAGCAGGAGCCGGGCCACCTTGCCTTTTTTAAGAAGCAAAATATGGTAAATGGGAGAAGGTTGACAGTACCCAAGAGTGAGAGAAAACCACTCAGTTTGGTTATGGGATTGTGGCTGGACTCTGGGTAC